GATTGACCGTCAACGCTCCAGGTTATGGTTTCTAGCAGCTTGCCTACACTGCCGACAGTGTTGACGGCTGCACTTGCCAACCAGAGGTAGTAGCGCGCATGCGCCCGTCTAATTTGCATATTTCATGGGAAATGTCCATCGAAGGTTGATTCTGGAAACTCTGGCTACTTATACAAATAGTAGGCAATGTAAGACATTGCCGTATAGGAGATCCATACTCACTCAGTATTGATGGGCATAGAGCCTCTCCTTTTTGGCTTCAGCACCATGTTGGCCTGGTTGCGCACGCTGACCCTGATGATACTGGGTGGCAGCCTGCATGGTTCCCCGTCTACCTGGACAGGTATCATTGCATTGGTGATGACTTTGGCTTCCCGGCATTGGCAGATCCGCTCACCATGACCTCCAACATACAGGGCAGCCTGTGTAAACAACCAAGCAAATTTCTTTAGGCCCTGTGATGTGACATGAAGGGTTTGGCCAGTTCAGTATTTCACAAAGTAAAATCAGTTGAGAACGAAGGAAACTTGAACATTATTCAGTGTGTGTGAGTTAATATGCGGCCATGCTGATCAGGCTGATCTCGCATGCGGTCGTTGCTGCTCTCAAATGATCTTTGAGGGCTATCATTTTTTACATGTGCTATTGGAATAACAAAGTGGCTCACTAAGTAGGGAGTTAAACTAAACTACATATGAATGCTGGACTAAAACCACCTCTCATTATGATAGAAATATTGGTCAATGTGGACAATGTGTTAGATTAACCCCTTCACTCTGGGAACCGTTGACAGCCGTAGCTTTGTGTAAGGATTAGTGCGTACCACACATACATTCTATTATCATGCACCTGCGGTTTCAATGTGGGCCTGCTGCTGGACAGGGCTTTGCATACTGGGCATACCGTAGCCCAACAGTCACGGTCAAAAGAATCCTGCTGTTAAGGGGTTAAAACCAGTTAGGAAAAGAACCCACCATGACAAACATATCTTTGCTGCTGGGCCAAGGGGTATGTAAATGATGAGTGAAATCTTGGGGTACTTGGCTCAAGACACTGCGCATATGACATCTGTACATTTACGGTTAGGCAGAGGGAAACTTGCCGTGTATACTTACAATTTGTGAAGGTGTGAAGCCAATGACTTCCAGGAATCCATCGTCGTGTCTCTGCTGTTCAAAGGTATGAACACTGGGGTTGCCCCACGGTGTGGTCCCACCTCCATACCTGGAGAAAAAAAGAATATAACAAAATCAAGCATTTCAACATAGAAAAATGGAATCCATAAACCCGGAGGCAGTGGAGGCAGCTTTACTAGGATTGAGCACAGACTATAATCCGTTAAAATCTGGCTTCACTTCTTGAAGAACCTGACTTTGGTTAATATGTTCGTTCAGACTGAGTGCTGTTACATTGGCTCAAACTCTTTATGCATTCATAATATATCTTAAATTTTCAGAGGCACAGCAGATATCCGGAAGGTGTAGCCGTGTCTGGGAATAATATTTATGCCTATGGAATACAATGGCTAGAGGCTGCAGCCACTACCCATAGAGGAGTGTGTTACTGTAAGCCACAGCCAGTTGTTTCAGACAAGCCTATATTCTTCATAGCAAATCCAAATAAGTATGCAAATGTCACCAGGACTTCACACATCATATCTTCCACCTTCCTTTGTACATCAAGAACTTTGCGCCGTATGTTTATATCCCACAATGCTTACCACAGCTTTTGTACGCATTTAGGTTTTGTTACATAACTGGCATGGAGGGGTTCTTGGTCACATGACAAATGAATGCTACCAGAATACGATAACTGACAAAACGTTTCACCGTGCTCTTAAATTTGAGGCAAGGGTATGTTTTGGTCAGTCGCTGATGCCTCACTGGCCGGCGAGGTATTGCACAAGTGGGTGCCCTCTTGCATGTCAGAGTGGTGCCATTTCATTCACCGCTTCAAGTTCTGGCTGCTAAACGCTCATCAGCCATTGCAACTAGAAACCCTGCCACTTACTTTGGTATGTTGAGAAAAAGTATGCAGTGAACTCTTAACTCCTGTATCCGGCTGGTGTGGTCGACGCCATCGCACTCTAACGTGATTTGTTTGGTCAAGTCTTTGGAGGTTCGTTTCAGGAGATCTGTGCCCCCTGCTCGGGCATAGTACATCCTGTTTCGGAATCGGCTGTTAAACTTCTCTGGGTTAGCCTCTGCAAAGAACAACAAACAACAACGTCTAACTGAAATTGGACTGATTTAATTTTTGAAGTGGTTCCCCCCGTGATGTTTCAGACCAACGAGTGATCAGATGAGGTCAGGGGGTTGGGGGAGGTGGAAATTCCAAGACTGGACAGTGTTTTTCTAATTTTGAAGGGTACACATGAGAAATGAAAAAAAGCTAGGTGAGGCCAAGCAGGTGGTCCGAGGAAAAGTTGCTTGCCCATGTGATTAGTATCTAGAATCTGGGTCTAAGATAAAGTTTTGCAGAATTCAGGAGTCAGGATCACAACTCAAGACATCCAAACTCCATACACAGACTCAGTGCTCCTCAGAATAAGCTTAACGGAATGGCCATGGCAGTCGTGGCCTGATGAAAATACTCCAGTCCAAAATTCAACAGTAAAACATCGATGTGTAATCAATTTCTTTACAGCCGCAAATGTTCATTTTCACCTTTCTCAGGGTTCCTGCACCTAAGGGACAATTAAATTCCATGACTTTTCCCTGACCAAATTATGAAAATCCATGACCAAATAACTCAATTTCTTGGACTATTCAGCCTTTTATGTTGCAAATACAATCACAGATTTTATGCGCTTATTTCTAATAGAAATCGCACAGTGTTTTATGACTTCCATGACAAAACCACGACTTTTCCATGACTTTAGTCATTTTTACAAAGTTGCAAGACGTTTCCAGGCATGAAAAAGGAAAAACAAATATTCATGACTTTACCACACCGCAGGAACCCTGCTTTCTCTCAAATTTAAATTTGCATTTTTGCGCTTCTCGCCACAACCAATTCCAAATTTTTGACACGTAAAACACGCTCTTAGTATCGTAAAGAATCGCACTGCAAGGATGAAGTCCCCTACAAAACACCCAGGAAATTGGCTCAATACACATCTGCAAAAGCCCCGAGAGACATTGCACCAGAAACAGACCTGAATACAAAAATCTGAAAAACCTAGCCTTGCTTTAAAATTTTACATTGTGAATTTCTGTTCGCAAAATAGGCTGGTTATGCAACCTCTACAGCTATGTTGAACTATGCATGGCTTTGAATCTTACATATAGAGTAGGATCATTCTAGTAACTGAAACATTCTATATGCACAGCCCTTTGCAAACAGGTTTGTAGGAACACATCATGCCTAGATTTTTTATTAAACCTGGAATTAATTTCACCTCACTTAATTCACTATCAAGACAAAGTGCAAGGGGCGAATGCACTGCTGGACTGCCATCCTGAATCACGGCGTCACCAAAAAATCAATACAGATGAGAGTCGCATCGAGTTAGGTGGTGTTGCTGAGGTGTTTATCTAGTGAACCAGCAACATGAGACCCACCAAGCCCAAGCTGTCTGAACCTTTTTCTCTCTTACCCCTGGATTCGTGGAATTCCAGTGCTGTCCGTGCGTCAGCACCGAGACTGAAGTAGTTGTTGAATACATCAAGCGGTCCGTTGTTGTCAGCCTCCCGGTCCTCTTTGGTTAGTTCCACGTCTGGATTTTTGTCCATCGTCAGGTTCCACCTTGGACATGCAGATGATGAAACCATTATCGCAGACTAAAAATACATCTCATTTCCTCTATCGAAATCATCATTTTTCAACCCATTTGATGTAAATTACCTCCTACTCAACCTTCTGACCCAACATTCTTTTGAGAACACGCCCGCTAACCTGGGTCAACCGTTGTTTATTTCAAGGAGACGGAAAGCGTATATATACGGGCAGTTCCATGCAGAGGTTGGAATTTAAATCATGATATTGATGACATCATTATCAATCGTAAGTCACAAACAAAAGGAAATTTAAAAATAAACAACAACAACCCGAAAACCCACAAGTGAAATGGAAGGGAACGGTGCTACTTATTTCCCCATATTTTTCAAAACCCTCTGTTTTAGATAATAATGAGGCACCTGAGTTTTTTTAATAGCGTGGCCAAATTGCCTGCAGGTGAACAAAATTTGAACAATTTAAAGTGGCCACAATGGCAGCATTTTTGATTTGTTTTCCTTACTCACATGGAATGTCGAAGATTTTAAACTCCACTATATGATTTCAGTTCGTGTCTTTTGACAGGTTCCAAGTTCCATAAATTTTACAGATTTTTCTAAAAATCGATTACAGAATTTGGATCAGTAGCATATCGCACAGTGCACTGAAACAAAGTGAGCCCACTACAGGGTTCAAAACAGTGACTGAACGGGGGAGGGGAGGGGAGAGAAAGAAGGGGCGTTTATTTTACCTGTCTAGCTGAGTGACTGGTCCCTCTTCTACTTGTGTAAGAATCTTGGATATTGGTTCATCTGTGTACCCCTGCAGCAAAAAGGCAGATTTGCAATGTACAATAACAACAGGCCTGGAGAAAGAGACTACTGTTAGATCCGATGTTAACTTTAAACACTGGATTCAACCACTAACATTGGATGCCATTTTGAGTTCCTCTTCTTTCTTTTTCAAGCCTAAACCTCTGATGATAATCAACTTCCTTTTCAAGGGCTTTCTGGACAGCAGCAAAGGCGCTTTATTTGGGCATCGATTTTTGGCCGTTCTTACCCTTCCCCAGTTCATTGTCCGGGCCAGGTCGTTGCCAGTCCCCAGCGGAAGCACAGACACCGGAGGGAAGGGCTTGAATTTCAGCTTGTCGATTTCAGACAGGATCCAGCCCACTGTGCCATCCCCGCCGCATGCTACGATCCGGAGATTGGGCACCTTCCGGAAAATCTCCAGGCTGGAAGGAAAAGAGAAGGGGGGCATACAAAAGAACAAAAACGATAGGCAGGTGTTGCAATCATGGGCTTTATTTCCGGGTGAATAACAGGCCTGCAAGGGATGTAAAAATGCTATTTTGATGATTGAATCAGATGAGAGTTTGATGTTATTGACACCTGTTTACACTTTGTTGCTTTTAATTAATGATTAAATATTCGCATTCTTTTAAAGTGAAGCAATGTTACAAAATCTGATAATTTACTTTAACTCAGTGAAGTGGCATTCTTACTCCGTTTAAAAATTGCTGTCGCATGTTCCCACTCACTCCAAAACATGTTTACAGCCAATGGAGGCTGTTTTTCAAACACAGACACTTTGCTATGAGAAAGGAAACTGCATTTCAGAGCCGGTAAACTGTGACGAGGAAAGGCACAGAAGGAAATGACTGGGTTAACTTACCCCTCTCTTGGTCCACCTTGTGACAAGTCAAACACCTGCCTGGGATTGAGCAACCACTGGAATTTGGACATCAGCTTGGCCCCCTGAGGACAACGATAAGGGAGTATGAGAGAAAAGCTTGCCCCAAAACACAACTGCAATGTTTGCATCCCCCAATGGGCAGGGATTGATACGCAGGATTTCCGGAGGTTTGGAACCCTCTGCATTTTCGGTGCATTTCTCCTCAAGCCCCTGACTGTGGGGAGAGCGTGAAGAGTTATTTTGTTTACAGACATGACAAGCATGGACCGATCTTAAGCCCGTTTTCAGGTGCCTCCTCACGTTGCATGCCTAGATTTGCCCCACGAAGGGATTTAGGCTGATCCACACTGGACATCCTCTGCAAACAGCCCCACTCTTCGCAGGGAGAATATGGAGTAATTGAGTTGTGTCCATATTAGTTGGCTAAGGCAGGGCTATGAAAGCCACTTGGCTAATGGCTACGGCTGAAACTACTTCTCATAGATACATGTGCCATTGCTAGATGTGGCCGTGCGATTCTGACGCAGCCTTATTGCACAAGGGATACTTACATGTACATGTACGGAAAGTGACGTATCCATTGCACACTCACCCATGTTTTTATCACAAGAAGATTCAAAACGTTTTTCCAGGTTCACTACAAGTTTTGGTGCATAGTATTTTGCACCTTCCAGTGCCAGGAATCATGGGGAAAAGTTGAGACTGTGGGTAGCGAGTCAAAAATAACCCACATTCCTGCTCCAACCACAATAATGACATTCCTGTCAAGTTCCCTCAAGTAATTCTTTTTCCATATATTTGATACTATAAACTTTTGAGAAACTTTGTGAGTGGTGTGCTTATGTGCTCTCTTGCGTGCACTTGTATGTGTATTGAAGTGTGTAAATATAGATGTTCTGATTTCTTTTTTTAGAAGTTTATTAATTATGACATGCACTGAATTCGGTCATCTTACCATGAAATAGAACAAGTTAATAATACAAAACATTATTTAGTTTGGGTTTGACAGAAACAAAGGAGCAGAGGTAAGGTGTACAATTGTGGTCCCCTCAAAACTGCCTAAGTTAGAAGTAGAAGCATGCACCCTGCACTGCTTGAACCAGTGTACCCATGAAAAAAAATGTGTCTCTCCTTGGCTCCCATAGGCCACACAGCATCCATCAAAGTTCCTGCAGGAACCACCGAATACACAGACATGGCGTACACAACAGACATACGAATGGGCAATCTAAAACCAAACACAGATTGAAGGCTCTACATCCCATCAAAGTGGGAATGGGAAGGGCGAGATGAATGCCTGGGAGACAGAAAAGGGGGGGGGGTTACTGCAAATGGACAAGCCAACTTACCTGATTGCCTCCACTCTTTGGATTGATGAAGACGATGACCGGCTTCATCATGGGTGAGGGTATGGGCTTGATGATGAAGGGCCTCATCTTGCCCTCTTCCTTCTTGGTGATGGACTTGCGCTTGATGGACGGCTTCTTCTTCTTGCGCTGAGAGGACTTGAAGGAACCCTGTCCCCAAATAACAAAGAACAAGTCCCTCCTCTTGACATCAGTGTGTCTTCCCCCTAAAGATTCTAACCCTTACAGAAGACAAATCCTGATTTTCATCATGTTGCAACATGAGAAGCTTTGAAGGCACACTCATTCCAGATAACGTATCCAAGGAGACCGTTTTAAGTGTGTCCAAATACATTTCTGTTGCGCAGTACAACGAAAACTTCACATATTATCGATCCTCAAAGATCCGTTATTGAGTCATTTAAATATTTCACATGTATGAGAAAACAATAAACAACAAAACTACTTAAAACCCTCTACCAACATCAGATGGTACTTACATTCATCGATTGCACCTCAAAATCTTATTAATTTCTTCAGATGACAAGTTTTCTCCTGCAAAATGGTTTTTTTTTTATTCAAACCGTACATCTCTGAGGGAAGTAAAGCTTGGTATCAGTGATAAGGAATTTACCTGCCAATAGGAACCTAGTGAAGATGCTTGTGTCCTGTAAAACAACAGGATATTCATGTGATATTTAAAGTAGCTTCGTCCACGTTCAACCTCAATCCCACTAACACCAGCTTCATGTCCCAGCTGCATTTAGGTTACCTCAAGTCCGTTGGCAGTTTGTGAAAGCTCCTCACGGATTGAGTTCCAATCTACATCAGCCACTGTTGTCCCCCCCTCAGCTCGTAATCCGAGAATTTTATTCTGACACCAGGAGGGTGGGAAGCTACCGCCATGGAAACGAGGGACATGAACTTACCTGGATTCTCTGCTTGGGAAGTCTGATGATCCAGGACGGTGGGATGATGATGCCAGCGTGGATTCCTAATGAGCACGGCTCCTCAATTTGTTGCATCATGAAACACGCCACCTTGTTATGATACTACAGAAAAAAGTTAACATTAATACGACAACTGAGCAAGTGTATTATTAGACTGCTGATCTTGAACATCCATAAACTTGACAAGGAAATGAATAAATGACCTCAAGCGGAAAACAAAGCAGGATTTGATATGTTCTCTAAAGCACACATTTTGTCCTCTATCTTGGCCAAATGTGTTTTGCAAAATGAACGGAAAATTCTGTACAATGGCTTGTCTGTCTGGTGATAAACGTCCAAAAAGGGAGCTTCAGTGGTAACACCTGCAATCTGTTGCAATTTGCAAATGGCAGCAAGCCCAAAACTTGGACTGGTACCACTATATTACGGCTACATATTGTGACACCACGTAGCCTTAAAATAACTATTGGCCAGCGTTGCTCCCTGATCTTATTTTCGCCATTTATCTCGCTGAATCCTGCAAATCTACTACTGCGCCGGAAACCAATGGCACATTTTTCGTGCTCCAAGTTTTATCGAGGCCAGAGTATTGTCGCATCTTTTGGGCCCATCCTTCCTCAAATCTATCTAATCTTCTGTATATGTATCCTCTTGCTGGATTTTGAAGCATCTGATAGGGTTGAGCCCTACCAGATCCAGGAGGCAGAATTCATCCCCTTCAACATATTCGGTAGTATCGTTGCAATGCATCTTTTCGTAAAGAGTTTTTATTACCAACTTGCAGTTATTTTGAAGTCAAGTTTGTAAAAATGGGACATGCTGTTCTTGTGCAACATGCATTTTTCCATGTAATCAGGTTATCCAAAAATCCGTACTTTCTCCATCACGAACTCGACGCATGTAGCAAACTTCAAATAACCACAACATCAAAACCATATGCTGTATCAAATTGAAACTCCAAATGTTAATAGATATTGAGTGTCTTGCATACCAAGTTTTAAAATGATCAGACACGTGACGGCTGACTTGGTCCAAATAGACCCGATTCTTTGAGGATTATAGGTTATTTACCTGGGTCTCGACATATACTTACGGCCACTTTGCACCAGGAACAGCTGATGGCAATGATCTCTTTCTGTTGGAAAAGCTTCTGCTGGAAGCTCTTGCCACACTGCTTGCACTTGCCGTCTTGCCGCCTCCGATGGACCCAGTGGTGGCGTACCACCTGGTTCTCCCTGTAGTTGCGGATGCCAGCATCCCGAAATGTGGGCTTGCACTTGAAGTTTATCTACAAGGGGGGGGGTTGAGGAGGCACAGGGGAGACAGATATATAGATATATTTCAACCCACTTGTTAACTTCAAACCGCAACTTATTTTTTCCCTTTGCGACCGTCATGGTAAGAGACTGATATTATTCCTCCTGAATAAATTAAGAATTATTTCCTTTCAAATTTCAAATTATTATCAGTAGATGCTTAACTCCATAGTGGACAAGATTCAAGACAAAATTGGCAGCCACTCTGGTAGATTTATAATGAACAAATGAAATTCAAATCCTCGCTGGCCAAGTAATTGAATTTTGCAAGCCAGAGCTGCTTTTAAACAACCTCATTGATTGGAGAGAGAAGCACTTACTCTTTCTAACTGAAGCATACATGCCGTGTGGACGATAATCTTGCAGGCAGCGCATTTCCGCCGTGATCCTGTTTTCTAGAGAAGAGGAAGTGAAACTCGCATAAATAACCGCCCATGGCGTGAATCCTTGCCGCTAGGACATGCAAGAACAAGAAGAGATTCACATCCAGGCTCATCTTGAACGCAAAGCCGCATGCTCCAAAACACTGTTTCCATGCTCATGCCACTTACCAGCCTTACGTAAAACCCTTCCATCAAGGCCACATCCTATTCTTGTGACCAGGGCTATAAGGTCTAAAGCTTCATCCATTGGAAGTACATTGCCACGTGCAAGACACCAGACTTAATTGTAGCTCTCAGAACCCAATTTGGACAAGGCCCAACCTCTTAGTAGGGACCATCTAGATGTGATACAGGTTTTAGAGGTATTTGTAGCTCACATTATGTCTCTCCCTGTTTTGCAGGATTATTCAAACTAATCATAAATACCTCAATATTTAGAAATGAACACGGCTCAATGAAATAAACACACAAAAATTATTTGGCAATTTTTGTCATCCAGAGCAGTGCATAGGTTGTTACCAGTAACCAAAGAATATTTCTACAATAGTCCTCATTAATACAGAACACTGCAAATATCCCCTGCACATCTTTGCATGCAAACAAGCCCAAACTCTGCGCTCAATACCACCTATTAAAATAAAACTGCCTCGTCTGCTAATTTATTATTTTTTCTTCAGAAAAAGGCACGCAACTGAGTTCACAGCCAGTCACCAGCAAGGACAAGCTTCCATTTGGCAAACAAATAGTGCAAGACACTACATGTAGGTGATGATAACTCCGTCTTGCACTACGCGTACGTGTACGTCTCAGGCATTTGAGACACAAATAACCCATAGATGGCCTAGAGCAGAGATATGCAATAATGAACTATTAGTTATTAATGCACTAAAGCGAGACAGCTGTGCACTTCAAAAGGCTTGCCATTAAGAACCATTATATTGCAGATGGAAGTCCCACGTATATTAGCTGACGAGGGGGCTTACTTCAAACTCGGCTGAAATGTTTCAGGTCAGTCTTTTATTGCTTTTCTTCCCCTCCCTGTCGTACGTGTTCAAGTGTTTACATGATGCTACATGTGACAACACAACACCATATGTTGGTAATTAGAGACAGTCTGGTGGTTTTGGGATCTCTTTTTCCCTTCGTACCTTGGACATATTGAACATCTTTAAACGATTAACATCTGAGAATGTGCCGTGAAACTCATTAAAAAAAAAACCCTGTACGTTCTTGACAAGGCAGCCACCACAAACATGATCAAATCCCCATGAAGAACGTACATTCTACAGCCATTAACATTAAGTCCAAGGTTGCAATAAGCTACATGTATGTGCTGCAGGAGCGTTGCTAACTTGCGCTTGGCAACCATTTCTTTTTAATCAACGGTTTACAAGTGCTTGAAGATGCATAGGTAATGTGCTTTCTCAACCTTCCACAGTGCTACACAGGGGCATTGTACACGCTCTCGTCCAACTTATTGGCATTATTAAGTTGCTTACTGTGCATACCCATGGGGATAGGAGTATGCCATACATTGTAAGATGCACTAACGCACCTTCTGAAAATAAGCTTCCCGGACAAGTCAAATCAAAGTCCAAGATTCGTAACATATAAAAACAACAAAACTGAAATAGTGCGACCACACAGCAGATAACCAGAGAATGAGCATGAACCAGAATTACAAAATGAAACAGAGCGATAAACAAAGTAGAATTACACAGATGGCAATAATGCAGTAACAAATGAAAAAAAAAAACCCAAAAAAACATGGCCATATCAGAAAGCTAATTTTCAGGCTAAAACACGAATAGTTCACTTAAGAGATGCATTTGGTGCAAAAGAAGGGAAACTATCCACTATCTTGACATGTTTCTGCCCCTGTTTTTTTCACGGTATTCCGACCCCCTACAGCTTGGCCAATCACGCGTTGGCACCCTTTGTCCTTGGCACTCTCATTAACATATAATCCATTGCTTCCAATATTTCTCAATTTCTCCTCATCCGCCCTCCCCTTCCCTGAGGAACTTCCGGGGTTTTTTTTTTGGGGGGGGGAACAATGTCTATTTTGGTCGCTTCTTGAAGGGGCAGATCAACACGTGCACTGTTCTGGTGGAAATGACAATTAATTGACGGTGGAAGACGGAGGCATAGTCTGTTTACTCATCAGGTCCACAGCGGATGTCAAGAGATTTTTTTTTTCCTTTAAAACAATTCACTGCCTCTTGAGAGAGAGGAAAGACATCACTTGAAAGATAATGACCTTTGGATGCTGCATAATTTCCTGAAATAATGAAAATCCCCCATCATCCGGTGACACAGTCTATGTCACTCACTGTCAATATTTATGCAGCCAACATGACTGTCACAATCAAATATTTCTTGTGTAAGGGCAATAAAAGTAGATATTATAGAAACAATATGCCATAAACAACACTCGACATCAACAATTTTTACATGCTAGAATCACGTCAGTATCATAAATGGTGCCCTATGCACTTTATATTTGGGAAATGCATGAGTCATGGGGCAGAACAATGTTTCCTTTGCAATGACAAGTTTTTAGAAATTTGGGTGATTTTATTTTGAAAATGAAACACACAAACGCACACAAAACCCCAGAAAATACCAAAGTCAAATGGTTATTGGGCTTATAGATCTCATCCAAATCTCAACATTTTGTGGCAGCTGAGAGGAGTCATAAATCATTAGAAATTAAATGAAATCATCCCTACACCGATGTTGCACAGTAACTTGAGGATGTTACATCATTATGACTTAATATGACCCCAATGAGGCTTTCTAGCACTTGCTGAGGATTGCTCACATCCAGTCAGTCATCACTGCAGACCAAGCACTGCTCAGTAAGGGAAATGAGGGCCCTTTCATAATTAACAGAAATTTAGAAGTTATTTGGTAAAATTTGATTTGTTGAAAGTTATTTATGATTTTTTTGGGAGATCGTGAAGCTGAAGATGTGACCCGTTTTGAGGAGAATTATTTTTTTGGGCCTTAAAATGCCACAACTTAAAAGCACATGCCAATCCAAACCACAACTGAAACTAAACACAGATGCATGTAAAGTATGGCATACATTACCAACCCAAAAAAAGAAGAAAAAAAAGAAGGAAAAAAAAGAAGAAACAAAAAAAAGAAGAAACAAAAAAAGAAGAAGTGATGGTACATGTACAAAGGGCAGAAGGAGAATGAAGATATCACTAACTAACATTGTCAACATTGTTGGACCCGATGTCTTGCCAAAATACTCTGTTATAGGAGATCTTTGTACTGTGGTTTCAAGATAAACGCAGGGATGAGGTTTTTCCCCGTAGCTTATGTTCCTGGCAGCAAAAGCTCATGATTTGGGCCCAAACAGTTTCTTTGCTCTGAATCTTGCCTCCCTTCTCTCATTCCTCTTAAATATGGAAGTGGAAATAACCAATCTTGTAAGGGTTGATCCTTTTTAAAGTGCCATCTTTACCCCTCCAAATTCTGGCTCCTACCTCAGAAAAAGAACTAGCGATGAACAAGACAGAACAATCTAGAGGAGGAATGCGACCCAAGCTACAGAAACACACACACACAGTACATGTACAACAAACACATATTCAACACAGCTGTACATGTGCATGTAGGTAGGTATCACGACCATCAAGACAAGACAACAATGTGCTTCAAGGTGGAACCTTTCAATGAACAATTTGGGGACTGAATTCTTGCCTTGTTTGACAAGTAAAACAACATTTTTTTGGTTCATCATAGGAAACAAAATCAACTTTGAGAAAGATGTGCCAGATGAAGTTTGTACACAGGTTCTGCCATGAAATCAAATCAGTGACTCCATGAATAAACTTATGAATCATGTTCAGACACACGACCTTTTTTCATTTAATTCTCTAAAATCTTTCAACACTTTAGGCTATATTTTTTTAAGAATGGGCTTCAGGAAACACTTAGCTGTCCTACAGCAATGGTTAAAAAGAAAGTCGGCCTGCCACAGTGAGCAGAATGCCGAGATTTATGACCCCTTCACCGATCTGTCTTTTCCAAAATATTATGCATACTGCTGACAAACTAGAGTACACATGAAAAGTACATGAAGGAATTTCATGACTGGGCCTGCACTATAAATAGTGCTTGAGAAACCGGCTGTCTATTTTTGGACCTGATGTCAGGCCAGGCTCCACCTTGAAGTACAAACAGGAGTTGGAAACAGTGGATAGACACTTACCCAGTACTGACTTACCAAGCAATCCTGCTCACCGACGTAGCAGAAGTCGCCTGAGGCATTGGTCTCCGTCCAAATATGGTCTCCGCTGATTGCGTTCTCCTGTCAGAGAGGAGCAACACAGGGCCAGGAATAGCATGAGCATGTTTTTTTAATGATTCATGAGCTCACGGGCAGTGGCAGCTCAGAGGTGCTGCTTTTCTTTCAAATACGACGGCGGATGTTGCAGCTGTACAGGCTGCCTTGGTTACTTTTTTTTTTTGTGGAACACCCGGTGACTTGATTTTCGTGTTTGCGCATTCCAAAATGTGCATGCATTGTGAAAAACTCAATCTGATATCCGCAGGCCCCATGGGCTGAAAATTGATGACTCATGAATGGAGAGAGAGCCCGCATCGGGTATACTACCCGGTTTTACTGATCGTTCCCTCAACCCCCAAATGGAGTGAGAATTCCAAAACAACATTTCACAGTAGTTTTCAACAACATATGAACGGGTGTTCAGTACTGCATAGGATTTTGTCTAGGCTGCTTTCTGAACCAGAAAACTGCAAAGTGCCAGCAAATTGTGATAAAAACAGCAAAGTGCTGTAACGTGGTATTTCTTTCTTTGATCTTTCTACCTAGTATCCAATGCCAGTGATGTTTGCAAGAACCAGGTACCTGAAGTATACCTGCGTGTACATGCCCAGAACTCCAGACTTCATAGACCGTCTCAATAGAAAAATGCAGATAAGTCCCCTTTTATCTACCCTGCTGCAACCCTTCCAAATGTACGACCCACAAAAGTCATGTCTGGGCTCATGCATGCGCCCAACGCACACCTGAAGATCATACATTCTAACAGAAGTCAGTCACAGGTGCTCAGTGCATCTCACACTAACCATGAAATGAACATGCCCACGTCTGTGGTGATTAATCACCACAGGATCAGTTGTTGCTGATTAAAATCTTAGCCTCTAATGTTCCCTGCTCGGAGCAGATTGAGACAAACAGGTTTGCAACGTTCTCCCCCCCACCCCCATTAAGAAACGTAGGGCTATATAACATACATATATAGGTCCTGTCAACTCCGAGTCAAACAGTTCACATTATATTTACCCACTTCATTAAATGTCTTTATTCGTTCATATCATTTTCGATTTGAATATTGATGTTGTTATTCTGCAATTCCAGTTTCAAAGAGATGCATGTTGAAGAGCTTGCTCTGACGGGGCTACAGTATTAAACACACTCCTATAAACAAACCTCTGCATTGTAATAATGTGACATCTGTCCAGCAGGAGGAGTGGGTGCAAATGTGACCTAATTTAGCTTGTAACAGGAACACTTGCAGGCTCTCCACAGGCTCTGATTTGCAAGTGAAACACTGATTCACACAACACTTGAGAGTAAAAAAAGTCGCCATTTTGAGATGAGTGAGTTACATGTAGGGGGGGTCGTTTGCCTCATATCCTATACCGGCTTCAGTTTTATAAATTTTTCTCTCCGAGGTACGACGGCAAGCGTTATTTGTAAATCAGATTGTTTAATGCCTTGATTGATTGGTTACATTTTTCTAGTATGAATAAAACGATCTACATGTATCTTTATTTCCACTTTGCGGGGGCTAATCTTCCCGGCTTGCAGCTGTAAGGCTGAATTAAGAAGGCCCCAGCCACAATGCGTATAAAGGTGCCTCAGGCAGCCGCCAAAGGACCCATATTTGACCATGGCGCAAAGACAGGCAATTTTTGGGGAGGGAGAAAAACCAGAGAACCCGGTGAAAACCCTCTTGGCACACGGGAGGATCAGAGAATGCTGGACTCGCACATAGCTCAGGCTGGGAATCAAACACCACGATCACAAGTGAGGCGAGCATGCATGTTACACACAAGCCACCCGGGCTAAGCAAACAGAACAGACTTTGTTTCAGCACAGCTTTCTTTTCAGGGGGCACAAGGATATGGCTGAGAACATCTTTGTTACCAAATGTCACGATTCTTAACTTTTTCAAAAGGTAAAAGTGGATCACAGGAATTTTAGTGACACCACTTCCTTTTTGTGGATTTCAAAATGGACCCTTTGCCTCTTTTTGTTGATTAAACCCTATGAGAAAATTGGTGTGCGTGGTAAAAAATATGTCATTTGATAACTTGAATCCATCAAAATTGCAAATACGGACCAAAAAATAATTCTCAACTGGCAAGCATATTTCATTCTTAATGCAGGTTCTGTTTTCCGAACCAGACACCAATGTCAAAGTCTGAGGCATAATCGTTCAGTTTGTAAGGTTTGTAAAGTGAACACTAGCAAGTGACCGAGAGCCTGAAATGACACTGAAAGCCAGGATAGGAGACAAAGTAAAGCAAACATAACCAGTAATTGAGGAAAATGCGCAGAGCGCATTGAACTTACGCTCCAGTCAACAGTAGTTCGGATCTCCTTCTCGGTTGCTGAGTAGTCCCGCTGAGCAGGCAGATGGTGCGAAGGAAACCCGTGGAGGTGGCTGGCGTAGGCATTAGACTTGGAGATTGCTTTCCTGCAAGGACAGAAAGTGAGAGAAAAAGAACTTACAGTTTGAAAGTTTGTACAGACTGACTTTGCTTCACTTGGAAAAATACTTTGCTGGCTAGTCATAAGTGCATCTACAGTGGGCTTCAGATGTGCGCCTTCCTCCCCGATGTGATTTCAGCTGCTCCAGCTGCTCCAACTCCTCCATTCCTGGACCTATCTTAAACTCGATTAGTCCATGCATGGTATTAGCCTCTCTGAGTTTCAGTGGCCGTAATGAAATTAATGATTGGTTTGAGTAATTACTCAAGTGCGAAAACGCCAATACAAAAGATTTGATCATTTTGTCAAATGACCTCTGGCTTGATTCATTCAGTTAGACTGGTTCTTCAGTGGAAGCAAGCAAATCATGAAAATATGCACAAAGGAAATGATGCCATTAACTAAGATTAAATACATGTACATCATATTAAGGTTCTGGTTGTGGTTTTCCTAACTTGGTCACTTTTCCTATCAACACAAACATCTATTCCTTCACTGTACAAGCAAGTATGCACGATTCTGCTACCTGCAGCCACTTTGCTATTGGGACAAATTCTTGGATGACGTGTTTCTGTCTCCTCCAACCTACTTAAAGCTATCTGGCCTGTGTGGTAACCCAGAGGGAACCCCGGATGGCAATCTTCCTTCCGTCTCGGCATCGCTGTCCGCATCCCGCTGAACTGAAGGAAGTGGTATCCCTGATCGCTGCAGAGCGGTGAGGTCCAAGGAGTGAGACCGCGGTTTCATGCGCTTCATGAAATAGCTACTGCGGCGGGCCATCTTGCCCCCGCGGTGTTCTTTGGTGTGGACCGCTGCCGACATTGCTGTCTCTCGAGCACTGTCATGCACTTCGGGTTGAATACTGGTGGCAGTACAGGCAAACAATAGCGTCGCTGATCTCTGTGTGAACGTCAATGTGCAAGCTGGGTGGCGCCGATGAGCGTGGCAAGAGTCATGTCCTTATGCTCTGACAACACACATGCATATCTACCATACAACGCAACACCCAATAAATCTGGGGCCACGGCTGTCTTAAGCCGCACCAAATCTGTGTCAGTATCGAACATGAAATATTCCGGCAATGTCTTGAAGGCATTAATCAATTGTGAAAAACAAACAGACTTCTCCCTCAAATCACGCTGGTCTCCCTCTCTCAGATATACATTACTTCTTGTTGCCCCAGTAACCGCCAACCTCGGGGTGGTACTCTTTTTTTTTTATTGTTGGCTATGAGAAATCTTTCTCCCAATCACCGGGCGATGACGTCTTTGAGCAAAGCCTGTAATCAAAAGTTCAAGTTCGTGATCCCCAATATAGATAAATGCTGAGTGGAAAATAGCAAACTCGCAAGATATTGGAAAAATGTGGAAAATTAAATCATCTTGTGAGATAGGATATGATCACAACTGCATGTGATCCCTTCCCTGACATGTATTACATACATCATACTCGTCAGACTCATACTGTACATTTATAGAGGTCTATTTATATGCATAAAAACCTTCCACCTAAACAGCTGTGGCCTTTGATTTGAAAAAAATTAGCTTTGGGAACAAAACAGTGCCTTGTATCTGCTGACAAAATACCACGTTTTTTTCCTGATACTAAACTTAAAATAAGGCATCCACAAAAAAGGACATACATGTTTTTTGGCCTGCTGGCACATTTACATGTAAGAAAAAATATTGTCATTCTCAAAATACCTTTTTTGTCAGACTAGCCATCAAGTTGAAACAGAGTACGATGGGAGGGAAAAATGCCAACATGGACAATATGTGTTTGTCAATTTCACAATTTCTGAATCAAAGCTATATGTACTATCTCTGAAGACCAAGTAAACAGTAACTTTTTTACACCCCTCCCAACAGGTCCATAATGTGCATGCCTACATATGGTCCACACTGGCTTCCAACCTACACATAGTTCTCAACACCCCTATTCTTCAACTACAGTAGAGAATATTTCAAAAAATTTGCTTGAAAATTTCAATCCAAGGAGAGAGCTGAAAGTTGTATCAACAATGAGCCACGACGCTTCCGCCCAGGCCAACAGCAACTTGAAACGTGTCAAATAACCAAAAAACCCCGCCCAACTGTACAATTTGCCCCCAAAATAGCACTCCAATTTCACATGGGTTGAATACCATACACACTCTCAGACCTATTTCCACTCTATTTTTAGCCTCGCGCCAAGCGGGTAGAAAAAAAATTAGAATTGCACTGTCAGGCCAACCAAGTCTTCTCACAAAGGTGGGCTTTTTGTGCCAACGTAAAATGATGACCACAGTCACTCATTAATTGGATTGATTTTCTCTCAATTGCTGGATGCGGTTACATATACACCCTAACTACAACATTCAACCCAACAAGTATTATTCAATGTACATGTATCAATGGATAATATTTGACTCAATATTTGCAAAACTGATGCAATACCAACAAAGATACAAATATTTGCTGAAGTGCTGAAACAAATTCAATGATTTTAAGCTTTCAAGTCAAAGCTTAAAAGGTTCAATATCCAGAAGGCAAAAGTGAAAGGAGTGGATAATGGAGCCCTGAATAAAAAATACACCAAAAGAGAACCTTGCACCTCATCAAATAGTATTATTTATAACATTTCAGGTGCATTTTAACCTAAGGGGTGCAAACACTTTGGGCAAGTTGTGAATATCCTACTACAGGTATTTGTGTAGACTACATGTATGCTCTGATTTTCATAGTTGTCTGGGTTTAATTCAAAACAGACATGCGTCAACTTTTGAATCACGCGAGACCCAGATATATTCTGCATTTTCTTGAAACAGTGCCCACAGACCCGAAAACCTCATTTGAGCAATACTGTGTTTCTTCAAACATAAACTCGGCACATTAATCCCAACTGGTCAACTCCAACTTTAAGATGACGTCTCCCACAGCACCAAGAGATATCCTATGCAAGCACCTGACAGGCTGGTGGTGCAGAATTTATCCGGATTGTGCTATTTTAAGGTTTTGCCATTACGGGCGGCCAATCATTCACGCAGCGTCACGCGATATCTGCTCGCCCGGAACAGGCCCCGTGCACAAGCGCAGGTATTAGCACGAAGCAACTGGTAACAGGGTGGAACTATTTTTAGCTGTGGCTGTTTGCAGACAGATTCGGTGGCTCTGGTCCTCAGGACGGGACCAGGGAGATTCCGAGTGAATGATCATTAAATGCTGTCTGGGACCCGTGTTATGTATGCCCACTGATCAACGAAGGATATAAGGTCTCTGTAAACACACCACAATCAATATCTGCTATATAACTCAATTATGTTCCTCTAGGCAAATCTTCCTGCCCACTGCAATTTGTCTGTAGTCTATTTAGATCCCATCAAACATCTCTCCACTTGTGAAGTTCGTTAGTAAAAAAAAGTTATACTGTAGTAACCTAGAGCAAACCTAATACTTAAGTCAGCAGATTAAGGCGAAAGAAGGAAACTCACACCCCTTTCGAGACAGATGCTATCTGTTGACAAATACTTTTCAAAGTGAACCATGTGGTCATGTTGAGCATCCAACCCCTAAGGTAACAGGCACTTCCTTGATGTGCAAGAAAAGCACTCGTCACGGCAACACTTGCAATGCATGCAAATTATCCAAGTGCATACGACTTTTGCATTACAATGGGCCAATGTTTACAGTATTTTCAAACTTAGGTTGCAATCTACGTTTATGTTACACGTACATCTTAAAAATGGCACTCCATTGAACAACACCACTGAATTTTTTTCATGAATTGAAGGGGCAAAGTAAAATACAGGAAAATAAGACACACTTTTTTAAACAGAAAAACACTTTTCTTCACTGAAGTGTCAAAATACTTAACCTTCAGTTTGCCTACTTACTTCCAGCTCACTTTTGGACAAATTCCAGATAAGTTTACTGCTCATTCTTCCAGTACTAAAGTGAATTCATACACACATACACTTATATGTAAGTACAAGTGTTTGTGCACACCTCAAAACAGAGAGATAAAATGCCAATGTGAAAAAAACCCCAGAATAGACCAACGATCAAACTGCAAAGTAATCACCATCCACACCAAGTATATAACTGAAAAATGTTGAGATTTCATTTAGGTCCACAACTGAACGTGACTTTCGAGACCAACAAAAATATCCATATACACATGTACATGTACAAATGCTACCACAGCGAAAGAAACATCAACAAGAGACGTCTTTCATAACAAGTGGCACAAGAAGATACCTGTGGATCCTCTGTGTGGTCAGTTTCACCATGCAGCAAATTTTTGTCATCTATGGCGCCCCACGCCAAACATCCAACATGTTTAATGATTGCTGCCACACATGAAAAAAGTTGGTGCAATGCTTGCTTGCCTCAACTTCCACTGATGTGACCCGGGTTCAAACTCCACCTTAGTAGGCCAACATACATGTACAAACAAAGGTTTTCAGTCCCTATCTGATTTTGTGGGTTTTATCCAGAACATATCATTCTGGGGGTTCTCTTCTCTTCACAGGTTGCCACAAGCTTTCAACCCAAGGTGCCTCGGGCACTTTTGAGGAATCCTTAGTTTCATTACCAGAAAGAAATTAACTAGATTTAAAAAAAAAAAATGCACTGACTGCATTTGTGAATTTGTCATGGATGCAATATTAGATGACAAAGTTGTCGCCCGATCCCAGTCAGGGATGTTTGTACAAAGGGGACAAACATGTACAATATAATACATGAAACTTTTATGTCGTGGGCCTCTTCTAGAGTTACATGTACAGGGAATGGAACTAGTCCTTTTAACTTTTTGTCAAACTTGGGCTTTTGAAGGAAGGTAATGAGGCAAGGCAATACTGGTATGAAGTCAAAGGTCAAAGGAAAAAACAGTTGTGTCAGAATACCATGAAAACTGCCACTGAATTACCTAAAATTGCATGAATTTGTTACAGACACCAACATGGCCTTTTCTTATTCGTTTCATTAAATGTACTTTTACTGTTATGCCATGCACCCACCACCACACACAAGCTCTTTATGCTAGCCAAACGCAGATCATGGCTTTCATTCCCCCGAGCTGGTAACTTTTCCACACATGGTGAGAATTATCAAACATGATCTTCCCTAAAACTGACCACACAAGGGAGCTAGCTTGCAACAACCTTTCCCTTTGAAATAAAAACAAAATGAATTCACTTCACACGTTAACGCTGTCTTGCCTTCCTTTCTTACAATCAGTTCCTTAGCAGCAGAATCCTGCTCAGAGGCCTTCAAGAATGATTCTGGCACATGTAGGATCCAAACATCAGATCCCTTTAAATTGGAATATTTACCTATCATCTCATTCCAGTTAATTTTTTTCAGTTGCACTGCATGCCTATTCCATACGGTTTTCCTACATGACATAAACAGGTACATTTCATGCCAATAAAATGCAGAATGCAAAGACAAGATCCATGTAGCTTTTTGATAGAATTAAACACAAAACTACCCTCTTCAAGAAAATTTATACAGTAATTTGATAAATTTGATGGACACGCTTGAAAGCATGGGGCATCCACTTCCAACAAAATTGAACGATGACAGACAAACTCTGATCCCAAGGGTAGATCAATCCGTATTGCCAATCGACTGCCGAGCGACCAAGAAAAAAACACGGCACAATTGTTGCATTCCCCACTGTTGACACAACACACACCAAACTGGAACAGCAAACTCCCAATCGGTGGATATAAGATACTGCCCCTGTAGAACACACACAAGAAGAGAGATCCCTGGTCATCGAGCCAACATCAGACTGCCGTCATGTTGTGACTGATTTTCTCGCATTTCCAATTTTCCCCGCTCCTAGTAGCACCAGATTCCTAAGCCTGTTCCAAATTTAGGTGAAAATACCTTGTTTTTAAATTGATACTAATGGAAACGACGACTAATGGCACATTATCAAGTCTGTAAAAGCCGAGTAATACACTCCAGTCAGTCTTGCTGTGTGCATGCACTTGTCATGTGGAATCTTCACAGGAAATCCAGACGTGGTAATTCACAACGTGACAAAGACGCAAATCATTGCCAGTTCCGGGCTAGCACTCAGCAGATGCCCGCCTGCAGTATCTAGCAAGATACTAGTATCCAGTGTCCACAAATTGCATGGTGACAGCAGGAGAGAGAGCAACGTCACGCGCCCAATCCTGCTGACATCATCGCCTCGCTGAGCACACACACCGAGTGGGTCTGCTCGGCGCTCTACTGCTAATTATTTCATCCTAAAATTTTCTCCTGATCTCCTTGCAGGGTTGGCACCCATCTCTAAGCCTCCATCATCGTGCACATATCAGCCTCATTGGCAGTCCGTTAAAAATAGCAGTTGACGTACCAGTATTTAGTGTCTTTCCACTGGTGCGCTCAACATCTTTGTACGTACACATAATGACCAGACCTTTACACTGTCGGCTCTATGGGAGGAAGACTTTTAATAATGGCATCCTCTGTGCATAGATGCACACTACATTTACAGTGTGGCTACCAGCAATAGGTGTACATGTACCATACAGGTTATTATGTTGATTGGAGGTTGTCCTCTAACCAAGGTTCTGACGCCTGTGTCATCAGTTTTGCCCTCAGTTCTAGAATCACTTGAAATGCACGACATAACGACACGGAGCAGAATTTTCACATTTCAAATTGAGATTCTTTGAAGGATAGGCAATTGAATGACGGCCAGATAAACACTAATGCCATTATCCTCATTTCATGAGGGTCTGGGAGGGCTACGGTGCTTGATTTTACTCAGTTGTTTTAAAGGTAAATATTTAAATGGTGAATAATGGTGAATATCTTGATATTTGTACGTGTAGCTTTAAGCTTAAACATCTAGGGTAAATACAACACCATAATGTTCAAATTTTCATGACAAAGAATGAATTCGATGCTTGAATGGAGACTAGTCATTGCAGTATGCAGTATTTCCAGCACAGGAGACAGCCTTGGGAAGAATTGCTCAACAGAACGGAGATGAGGTTTGAAGCACTGGAACTTGTATGAAGTGTGCCATTTATTTCACTGGCACATATGTGCCCATTTTTGCACATTGTACGTGTACAGTGTATATGTACATGCATGTACTACACAGACACATGTACATGTGTACGTACACGTTTGAATGTTTACATCAGTGGGGTCACTCAGGTTCGAAATGACGATTTCAGACATACCAGTGGGTATTTTCTTTGTCTGACCTTTCTAACCAGTCGTGTGATCATTAAAGTACCGTAGTATCACCGGTTAACTCAGACATTCAGCATTAACATGAGGTCATTGCATACTTTGGTATCGGACATACATGTACCATGCCCAAAAGGTTTGTATGAAATGTATAAATACGCCATACATCTCAGTTGAAATTAAATGACTATAGGCTTGGGAGTTCATAGTTTTTAACCTTACACCTGCTAATGGTATTGACATATCAAAAGTCAGCTGCTCATCACAACTACACGTACATTGTATACAGGTTAAATAAAAAGTGTCAAATCTTGAAGAAATATTTCATCTATTTATGTTTGATGGTGTGTTGTATGTTGATTTTTTTTATTTTATACATTCAGTATAATTTCATCATCTTCTACTGCTTGTCCTTGTTTACCTTTGTATAAAAAAGTATAAAATTTTAATGTTTGGTCTCGGTCTCAGAAGTCCAGGTCTCAGTCTCGGTCTCCACTTGCCAAAGTCTTGGTTTCGAAGTCTTGGTCTCGGTCTTGAAGGAATTGGTCTTGGTCTCGGTCTCCGTCTTGGTCTTGGACATCAAGGTCTCCGATACAACTGACAGACCGTGGACTTCAAGAAGTAACAGCAGATGGATCTCTTGCCACAACTGGAGACGGCTCCAAGATGTAGGGATATATTGCACATGAGCACTAGTTTACATGCATAATGTGTAGCAAGTGCAGGACCAATTTTGTTATTTGAATGCACACAAATCTGAAGCATCTCCGTGGGGCAACAGAAAGTATGGTTGCAATGATGTGCATGTGTCTGCCTACATTTTCTCTTTGTCACCGTTCTCAGGGCACCAGTGCAAGAAGTCGTAGCCGATGTAGTCACGCTTGAGTGACCGTGGCTGCTTCTGAACTGATTAAGAGGTGCATGAACTAGAGAGAGACAAACGAAGGGGAGAAATGTCTTCAGGCAATTTCTAGAGCCAATGTGATTAGATGCTATAAAATAACTGAGGTTCACATGCACGCTAGTTGATGTGTCTCTAACCATTACACAAAGCAAATATGTTGCAACAAACACATGCCACAATGTGCATGATCATGGCAATATGTACGTACGTAATGGCATCTAATTACAGTCTCAGCAGTAGTCTACAAATGAACGTAGTCAGCTTAACTTTGCAGCATAAGAAGTCGTCTTTATGTTTCACTAATCAAGAATTTATACATTTAGACATACTTTAGGAGATCACACGTAATCTCGTGAGTGCTTGCAGCACTGAAAAGATGCAATGGAACACATCACTTCGAAAGAGCTCATTGGATGTGCAATTTGATCTGCTTTGGTACTCTGTAGAATAAATGCTCACGCTACTGATGCCGTAACATTTAAGTGCATCTTCCTGTTGACCTCTGACCCCATCATCTTGGCCAATCTGAAGGCATTTACAAAGTACTAGAAAAAGCCCTTACTTGGCCTATCATGTGATTGAGGAAAAAAGAAATATGTCCACACCAGGCTAAGAGTATGGTACCTTTGGTGTTTGCCCCACCCACCTGTTCTTCAATGACTTCCCAGATTCTGTCTTCAGTAGTGTGCGCTTCAAAACGGTGAAATCACTACATGTATGTCAAAGGAGCTCTGAATCAAAATCATGGGGTGATACCTGTACATACTGTGGGGTGGCCACATTCAGTTTTGCCATAAGATGTGCAACTACTGCATGTACATGTACTCGTAGGGATTGAGTTAATATCACGTACAAAGATATCAGACAATTGTGAGGATGAACTCTGATGAACGGATGGCACCTAAGATAGCGATTGCTCATGGTTAACAGTTATAGGAATCTGCAACACGGCAGTGATGCTGAGTGGCAACAAAGGTCACAGGACCTCAAGCTCCATTCACAAATTGACGCTCAAACAGGAACCCTCATTAAGAGATTTCCTCTTTGGTGCTACTGCCAAGTCAGTCATGCGATATCAATAGCCAACGATGGTGCCGGTTGCAAATCTTTCAGACATGTACAGCCAGATCAGTTTGAAGTGGACATTCATTACATCTAAGCCATGCTAGCTGACCTGTTGCCCGACAGTTGTGTCATTTGGGCAGAGCTGTCAGATTTGCATGAATTCCCTTCCAATTGTTGGCAGTGGGATTTGAACATTTGGGACTGGTAACACATGCCCGTGACAGTGATCCTTTGGCAGTACTTTATCAAGTGGAGTGGAGCTGAAGAAAAGCTGTCAGACTGGATTGAAGTTCTGTATTAAAACTTTTTGACTGGTGAATTTCATCATATGAAAAGACACTGCACATTCTACTGTCTTGTTTTTCAGCATGTCAAACATTTTCACGATCACTTATAATTGCAGGCATCTTTTTCCACCACAAACTCAAAGAGTTTGAATCTTCATTTCTTAAAGAGTACACATGTTTATTCTGTGTCCAGCTTGGCAAGACAGGGGCGCAAATAGGCTCTGATAAAATGCACGCAGACTCACTGGTTATTCTAGAGGGAGAATATTGTAAGCTTGATAATAAGTGAATGAGGTGGGCCTACATGTACAAAACATCCCAGGGTTTAGAACAGTTTGAATACGTTTGTATCATTTGATGAAAACTACAGCTGCTAACAAGAATATAAACGTCCAACTGCAAATACATGTATATTTATATCAATCTCCACTATCGAACAAAACGAACAGTTTTGCGTCACGCTTGACTAAACAATTTGGATACAGTGAACTCATTTTTCCTCTATGCTGAGCAGTACTTGGGTTGCAGCTGTGCATTCGTCTGGCATCACATTCAAACATTTTCCAACAATGGCCATAGATGCAGGTTTTACTGGGAGATTACTGGATTTGGATCTAAAGTCTGTCCAATTACATCTTGTTCACCATTTTTATTTTTAATTCCACCTGGAATTTCTCAATCTGCTTGGTCTATAGACTTTCCTAAAATTTGGTCATACATGTATGTCCATTTATTCTAAACAAAAAACGAACTAACCCCAACAACACAAACCAGAAAAATTACGAGGTACCAACCTGTGACAAAAGAAACATGCAGTGCAATCTGGGAAACCAATTAGACACCAGTGAACTTGTTTTGGAGATATGGCAAAATGGTCTTCCATTTTGGGAATAAATTGGTATTTTTTACCTTCTCAATTTGAATATCCAAATAATTTCTTGTTTTAGGTAATTACAACTTGCAATCTTTCAGTCGGTCAAGTTTGTGTATTCTCAAGGGAAATTTTACTCAATTCTTTAAAGTTTGATTTCTCAAAATGACGTCAGCCAGTTTTTATAACTTCTTGAGAGCAATAACCTAAGTTATAAACAACCTGGAATGATGAATTAAACAGTTTTGGAAACAGCACAGCGTCCTTGTTTAGGTAATGAATATAACATTTAAAAAATGACAAATTTCGCAACATGAAGAGTTTTCCCGGCTCACATCACATTTTAAAAATACAAACCAAATCACTCTATTTACTGATGGAAGTCCGGCAATTCTTTAGAAATAAAAACGAAAATAAAAACAACAAAAAACTCCTGAAAACAAAACAACCAAACAAACACACCAGCACACACTGAGCATAAATGAATACAGCCGCTGGCAACTCTTCATCATTACGGTACTTACCGTAATGCCATTCCCTATCATAAAGTAGACCCAAAAATGTTAATGTGCATGGAACAGAACAGACAAGCAGTGCTACATCTCCATTTAACACGAACAAAGATATATTAATTGAAGCAGACATCACAACCCGCAGCGTTGGTTCAATTCAAGAATAAACAGATGCATTCCTAAATGCCGATACATAAACGACAATTACTTCAAATTAGCGCATGCTTCTGGGACACAAATCATGCTTTGAAAGACTGTTAAGATGTTATAAACACCTATATTTATGGTATGTTTAAGTAAGATCACCTACATGGAACTTATTTTTACCAATCCATACCTATTTTCCTCTGGAATTTTCCAGTAGATATTTACATTTCCCGAGTTCTACTTTGTTCACATGAGGCTATTCTTGATAAAGAGCAGAGGAACTTCATAAAAAACATGGGAAAAGGCCTTCCATAAATTGATCAGATACTCTGCTCTTATTAGCAATTCCCAGTCCTGTCAATTTATATCAACCATCACTTCAACACCACCAGAGTATCCGAGGAAATTAATATTTCTCGGCATCAGACTGTGTAACGCATCCTGCGTAGCGGAGAACGGATGTTTACAGAAGCTATACATTTATTGAAACTTTCGAAAGCCCATTCCTGGCTTTTCTCCGAGCGACCACCGTAAATGCCAACTACACCCAGGCATGACGACAAGGAGTAATGAGGAACAGTTGCCTACGGAAACCGCATCTCTCCACCTC